GGATGAGAAAACTAGGCAAACAGGGTTAAGTGACTTGCACAGTGTTATACAGCTAATAAGTGTCTAAAGCCAGATTTGAACTCTGGAAGGTGAGTCTTCCTGACTCCAGGCCTATATCTACTGTGCTACCTAGCTGCCCCTACTGTTAGATATTATTATCTTTGGCTATATTTCCTCAGCTATCTCTACTTTTTTTTTTTATCTTATCCGGATCCAAGCAAGATGCATGGTACCATCTTGATCCTTTTCTCTGTGAAGGTTGCATATGGACACTTGGCTTAATTCAAGGTGGGAAGAAAGTAATAGGAACATTTCCCCTGACACTGAAGTTTGGAAGGAGATAACATGCTAGAGGAAAGGGGTGTTAGCTGAGAACTCCTGCTCCCCAAACCTTGAGCATGTGAGTATTATTTCATTCTTGCTCCCATTATATTTGTAAAAACCCCCTCTCTAACCCAGTAGGCAGTTAGTCCCTGCTTCTTTTTGGCGTCCTTCTTATACCCGTAGTCTTCTCCCCACACCACAAGCTTATCCATGATTAGTTCTTGACTTGGATAACTATTAAGTGCCTGGTATATAAGTGAGGTATAAGTCGAAGTCCTTGTCCTGAAGAAGCTCAGGCTTATTGGGAAAATAACAAATAGAAAATATAGACCAGAAAGTATTATGTGAGAAATACAGAAAACAAGTATTCTCAGCATTCAGAAAAGGGAGACATGAGATAGGCAGATTTAATAGAATGGGATGGGGGGGGGTTATTTTATTTTTTAAAGGCTGCTCAAAGTTTATTAGTTTCTGTTGAGTACAAAGTAAACAAGTCACTGAGGCTGCTGGAAAGCACAAAGGTGATTCAGATGGTAAAAAAAAAATTCAATAACTGTGGTTTCTTTTACTTGTTCTTTGGTGTTTTGATTTTGTTTTCCTTTTTAAGAAACACACACACACACCAACTACTTCTACACTTAAGTAGCCTGTCTATTCTAAGGGAATAGGTGGGAGAGGGAAGGGGGTGGGGAGGGAGGAAATGGGCTCTGATGCCTAGCACACTTCATAAGGTGGGGGGGGGAGCAGCAAGGAGGGTGCTGCTACTCATGCAGAAGGCCCAGTGCTGGTCTTGCTAGGCTCGAGGACATGCTGCTTCCTCATGGCCATAGGTCATGAGGTGATCGTGCCATGAGCAACCTGGGGGGATTCCAATACATTTGTCATGAATGGATGACTCGACTTCCCGAAGATGCCCACCAGTGGCCTGGGTCTGATTTGGGATGATGAGGGATCACTTCCCCAGAATACTCAGCACTTCCACAGGAGCTGTTGCTGGAAGTGGAACCCAGACACCTTCAGTAGTAGTCATGGGTTGCTACAAGTGAACTGCTGGATGGGATTGCTGCCATGTTGCTTGTTCTTGTCATGATGATGTAAACCTTAAGTGGTGGCTCCTGAGCAGTCTGTCAGGCAGTGGGCTGCAACAGGACGATCATGGTGACTTGGCTCAGGGGAAGAGGTGCTAGGCCACAAAGCCCGTTTGTAAAGGAGATCATGGGAGGATACTCCATGGCAATGAAAATTCGAGAGTTCTTTGGGTTTTGATAGGGGGATTTTAGCTGGGCCTCAAAGGATGACTAGAATAGATAGAAGCCAAGAACTGATGGAGTATGCTAGGCAATGAGATGGCATGATCCAAAAACATTGCAAAACTGGAGATGTGTCACATGTTTAAGGAATAGTAAGACCATCCTGACTTGCGTTTGTGTTGAGAGACCTAAAACTGGAAAGATAGAATGGGGCCAAATTATGAGCCTGCTGTAAACCTTTGAATTTCTGAACAAGATACCATTCATGTTTTCAACCAGGCTGAGAAGTATAACCACAACATTTTACCAACAAGCTCATATTCTTCTCCCTTACAGTTTCAATCCCTAAATAACATACATTTGTCCAGATGGCAAACTTAAGTTCAAATTCATTTTTATGCATGAGGTTTGGATAACAGCATAGGTCTCCCTTGGGTTTTAGTTCCACAAAGTTAAGGATGGCACTTCTTAGGAACAGACATTAGCATAAGTAATGCCTTGGAAATTCCCTAATTCTTGATTTAGGGAAGGAAATCTGCAAACCCTCAAAGTACTACTGTATATAAATGGAAACTTTATTGTTATTTCACTTTTAAGTATGGTTTTATTTAGTTAAATCATTCAGATTGTTTCCAGTTGTCTCATTCTGGGAGAGACATTCTATTTGTGGCTTATTCAGGCCTCTTCCTTTGACTTCTTATTCCTTTTATTTCCATGAGATAGTATTTGCAACAGTAGAAAGAGATCCTGATTGCAACTTAGTCTAGCTTGTTTAAACATGTCAGCTAGTTTGGAGTGAAGGGGAAGGGTGAAAGGGGAGGAATGTTTACTAAACCTGTTTTGGCCACTGAAATCAGCTATCTTATCCTTTTAGGAACTGACCATTTCAAAACAACTCAGAAGGCATTTATTAAGTGCCTACTGTATGTCAGGCACTGGGAATACAAAACAAACAACAACTAAATGGCTCTAGCCCTCAAGGATACCACATTTTACTGAGGGAAAGTTATATTTGCACAGAGAAGTAAGTGCAAAACACAAGTAATTTGGAGTACAAGAAGACAATTAACACTGGGGTGGATCTCAAAGGGCCTTTTGTAGAGTCATGTTATCACAGATTTAAGATCTGGAAGAGACCTTGGAAATCACCCAGTTCAATACTTTCATTTTACAGATAAGGAAACTGAGGCTTTAAGAGATATACTGTAAAATGAGGGGTTCAGCCTATCTGGAGAAATGGCCTCCAAGGTCCCTTTCAGCTCTAAGTAAATCTATGACTTGCCCACCTGACAATGGTCACAGGACCACTAAGTGTCTGAGATAAGAGTTTGAACCCAGAGATTCAAGTCCAACGCTATACCTACTACACCACATTAGCATTTAAGCTGAACTTGGAAGGCAGCTGGGTCGTCCAAGACTTGGATGTGCAAGAGGACCAGCCTTCTAGATGTTGTGTGGTAGGGACATCAAGCTTGCTTTCCCATTGTAGTTAATGGTAGGAGTAGAAACCAGAAAAGCTGAGTTGTTTGAACATGCTGAATTTGGGATGCCTACATCTAATGGGTCTGTTCAACAGATATCAAATGATATAGGTCTGAAGCTAAGAAACATTAAGATGAGTATTGGTGCTGGTGTGTGTGGACCCTGAGGGGATGGGAGAAATTTTAATTCTTCCTTTTCTTTAAGGGTCTTTGGCTTGAATGACCAGAGGGAGCAGTTGTTAGAATGATCCCTCTCATTTTAAGAGGCATTTATTAAGCAGCTCCTACATCCCAGGCACTGAGCTAGGGTCTAAACCAAACAGTCCTTGCCCTCCAGGAGTTCACTTTCTGTTGGAGGAAAATGACATTCATATTGAAGACTTTAACTAAAAGAGATAGCAAATGATTTCCAGGGGGAGGACAATAGCAGCTGAGGGGGGAGAGAGGGAGAGATCAGAATTGGTTTTCTGTAGATTAACACTTGAGCTGAGCTTTGAAAGGATTTTTGTTGCTGCTGTTCAATTGCATCTAACTCTTAGTGACCCCATTTGGGGTTTTCTTAGCAAAGACACTGGAATGGTTTGCCATTTCCTTCTTCAGCTTATTTTACAGATGAGGAAACTGAGGCAAACAGAGTCAAGTGACTTGCCCCAGGGTCACAATAAGTGTCTCGAGGATGGATTTGAACTCAGGGAGCTGATTCCAAGCCCTGTGATCTATTCCTGTGCCATCTAGCTGCCCCAATGGACGTGGTACTTAAAAAAAATTGTCTTTTGTTTTTATAGAACCGACTTTTTTTTAATACAGGGTATCCCAAAAGTCTTAGTGCAAGCTTAAGTTAGGCTATTAATACTTACGGCTGTACTAAGACTTTTGGAACACTCTCTATATCCCCTCAGCCTTACTCTAACGAGTGAGCTATCCTTTGTAACAAAGAAATGGGAGGGCGTCAAACACATTTGTAAAGTGGTTTAAAAAAAAAGTCTCAGTTCAGCAAAACTAACGAACACTTCAGCCGAGTTCGAGAGCATATTCAGTGTTCGAAACCCACAGTCCACCACTTCTGCAAAGAAGGGAGGGAAGTGAATTTGCTCCACTCTTCTCGGGTTTTTTTCCTTTGTTGTTCTTCCTATTTACGTTGTTGGAATCCCTCTTGGGTTATAAATCTCGGATTAGCTGAAGTGACCCCGACACCCGTCCATTCTCAATCTGGGCACAGACTGCTCAGAAGCCCCTTTTCCCTGTGAAAGTCACAGCCTTGGAAGGTCAGGAAGAACCCGGTGTCCTCGTGGCTTTGGATTCGCGGAGGGGGCGAAACTGACTGAGCGAAAGCAACCCCCTTAGGGCGCCCTGAGAGCATCTCGGGCCCCAGCCCTACACGTGAGAAGCCACGGGCATGCATGCCTCGGTCACGGCCACGGCTACGGCCACGAGAGACGCCTCCCTTGCAGAAACGCTATGCGCCCTAAACTAATACCAGGAAACAAAACTCGAAAAGCGCCGAGCGCACGACTGTGAGGTTCACATCCGCCACGACCTGGGATGCGGAGCCGGCGCCCCTCTCGGTTAAACTGCCTAACTGGAAACGGAACCTTCTGGGGAAGCGGAGCAGCCGCGACCAAAATACAAACATTCCACTGGCTTCCGGCCGGCAGGTAGGCGGGGCTAGAGGCGGTGCGTGTTTGGCAATCACGGTCTCGAAATCCTCCCTGAGACCCACCTCCAGAATCGTCTATGACGATTGGCTTGAGAATAAGTCAATCAGTTAGCCAACCCCCTCCCTCTCTGTCCCCGCCCGTAAATAACAAACCTCGAGAAGAAGCCGGGAATGTGATTGGCTGCTTTTTAGGACAAAGGCAAACCAAAGCAAGATCAAGCCTATCGATTGGCGGGGGCGGGGGAGAACTCGGGCTCCCTTCCGGGGATTGGTGGAAACACACGAGGAAGGGGGGCGGGGCCGTGTCTACTTCTCCGCTGCCTGGGCGTGCTGCGTCCTGGCGGGCAAGATGTCGGCTGCGCGAGTGCCGGAACTGAAGCAGATCAGCCGCGGGGAGGCTATGCGTCTCGGGCCCGGCTGGAGCCACTCTTGCCACGCCATGCTGTATGCAGCCAATCCCGGACAGTTGTTCGGGCGGATCCCTATGCGCTTCTCGGTTCTGGTGAGGGCGGAGGGAGAGTGAGGCCGGCCTTCGGGGCGGAGGATGGGCGGGGCCGGGCTGAGGAAGCCGGGAGCCGCGGGCTGAGGCTCGAGGAGGCTGTGGGGGGAGCTGGGTTGCCGGGCCGGCTTGAGGGGCTGAGGAAGCGTAGAGGCGGGGTCTGGGGACGGGGCCGAGGCGAGGGGGAAGAGGAGTGCGGGGGACGACCCGAGGAAGGAGCCGGGGCTTCGCCTGAGTCCGAGGGCGCCCAGCCCCAGACAGCGAGAGTCGGAGCGAGTCCCGACCGACCCGGAGGAGGGAGAGCGTAGCCGGGCAGCCCGCCCGGGTCACCTGGCCGGCTCCTGCTGCTGGATGCCCGCCCGCCCGCGCCTCGCGCCCGGTTAACCCTGCGGTTCTCTTGCAGATGCAGATGCGCTTTGATGGGCTCCTTGGCTTCCCTGGGGGGTTTGTGGATCGTCGGTACTGGTCCCTGGAAGACGGGCTAAATCGGGTGCTGGGCTTGGGCTTGGGCTACCTGCGCCTCACGGAAGCCGACTACCTGAGCTCCCACCTGACGGAGGGTCCGCACCGCGTCGTGGCCCACCTGTACGCCCGGCAGCTCACGCTGGAGGAGTTGCACGCGGTGGAGATCAGTGCGGTGCACTCCCGGGACCACGGGCTAGAGGTGGGGCATCCTGGGACGGGAGGCCAGCACCCCCACCCCGGGAGTTGGCACTGGCCCTTGGCACCGCCGGGATAACGCAGCCCTCCCTCCCTGGTGGGCTTGGGGCTGCCGAGCTGATGTCGGTTCGGAGCCCCGGGCGGCCGGCCTGGGGCTCCGGCTTTTTAGGCCGTAGGGAATTCCGGTGGAGCACAAAGCGCTGACAAGTGTCAGTCGGCTTCTGTGCTGTGGTTGGCGGGGAGGGAAGGGGTTTGGGGAGAAAGAGTGGGAGCAGGGCTTGTTGTTGGGGGCTGCTCTCCCTCAGGGCCGGGTGCGTTACATCCGCTATGCTTCTTGCCATCGCCATGCCTGGGAGTGGGGAGTAGATTGGTGGTGTGGGACCAGGTTTAAAAGGGAGTTAACTTGAGTTAGGGAACAGGGCATTGCCTATGCAGACAATAGGTGGGAAATGTAAGGGTGGAATTGAGAAGATGGTATGGAATGGTTGTAAATGGCTGTATAGTTGGTGGGATGTATAGAGAAGGGAGGAAAGGGTATTGAATTTGGGTGTATTTGGGACTTGGGCTGGGGAAAGGGGAATCATAAGGGTCTTAGGGGTGGTTTGGGCTTTGTAGGCTAGGAAAAGAGGGAAAGCAAAGGTTTTGGAGCTTCCTAGAACAGGGCCTGTATAACCAAAACTTGGAATTCAGGAAGGTATGGATTTGTAAATTGATGTGTAAATTGATCCCCTTAGCTAAGGAGTGTCATAAGAAACCTTGAAATGACTTTCCTACACAATTAGTTTCCGAAGGGGTAATTGGAACCTTGGATTCAAGCCTTGCTGTGTGCAAGTGGTTAAGAGACTTGTGTTTCATCGGACTGATGCCTTGTGTCTCCTTCTAAGCCCTTGGCATACATTGCTGCTTTTTTCACTGCCCTGGAAGCTGGATGTGGCTTCCAAGCTAAGAGCTCCAGGCCCCTCTCTTCAGCAGGAGGGGGCCCAGCCTAGTCTAGCTGGGTTCTTGATTGCCCTATCTGCTCTTGTTGCAGGTGCTGGGCCTGGTCCGGGTTCCCCTGTACACCCAGAAGGATCGAGTTGGTGGGTTCCCCAACTTCCTTAGCAATGCCTTCATCAGCACTGCCAAGCACCAGCTGCTCTTTGCCCTGAAGGTGCTGAACATGATGCCTGAGGATAAGCTGGCTGAGGCCTTGGCTGCTGCTACTGAAAAACAGAAAAAAGCCTTGGAGCAACAACAGACAGCTTCATCATGAAGCTATAAATCTCCATCCCTTAGGCTGGGTTTTCTCTCCCTATCTCTTTTCCCTGCCCCATCTTTTTTCCAAATTTTCTATGCTCCAGGGGCTGAGAAAAGACTTGAGATAATTCATTATCCTTTAGAGGTGTGGGGTTTCTCCCATTACTCCCTCCCTTCCCTCTCCCCCAGTGACTGAAAAGGAGTGCCTTTCATTCCTGTCTTCAACCTGTGCATAGTCCTTTTTTTGGCCTCATTGCAAAGCAACAGCAGCAGCACTTGAGGTTTGTGTAGAGAGATATATAAAGGTCACAGGGTAAGGAGCAACACCTGTCCAAGGTTTTGAGTGACCCGTTTATTAGCACTAGCTTCAGTGTTTGGCCTTTGGGGTCAAGGTCAAGACCTTAACATTTCTCTGCATGAATCTTTTGTTTTGAGAGGCAGTTGTGAGTTTGGTTCGGGCCCCAGATATAATGGTGTTCTGGTTAGAAAGGTTCCTTAATTCTCAAGGATGCTTTTGGTTACATTGACATATTCATGTTTGTTCCATTTCCTCAGCCCAGAGAGAAGAGAAGGAATCAAGGTTTTGGTGGGATGTGGCCCGGGGCTTTTTTGGTTCTCTTTCCTTATTTTGGAATTGTTAGGTTTTGATGTGGAATATGGGGTTTTAAAGTACCTTGTACCTTTAAAGTAACTTTTACCTTGCCTCTGCCTATTTTGAAAGAGCTTTAGGCTGACTGGGGTGGATAGGGGGTGCTTCTTCCCTGAAAGACTGGGAAGACTGGGAAAGGGGTAAGGCTTGGGAGTGTGTGTGTGTGTGTGCAGCCTGCCACTTTCACTCTCCCTCAAATGCAAATCTGAGCAGGAAAGACAATAAAGTAGCTTGACAGCTCTTCAGTGTGGCCTCCTTTTATCTTCAGCATAGGGGATGCTAGAGTTCCCATCCCTGGGATCCTGGCACTATTTCTAGCTGAGTGTGCCAAAGGTTAGGGGATAAGTTTGTGAAGATGCTATGTTTTCTTAGGATTGGACTAAGTAGTCATCACTGAGTCATCCACATCCTTTCAAATCGCTGGAAGTGTGTATTTTTAAGAAAGCTGACTAGGACTGTGGGGGAAGTATAGCTTTGGACTTAAGAGTTTTTGTTCAGAGCTGGCTCTATCAAACCTGTGATCTTGGCTCTATCAGGTGAAATAATGCTTTGTCTCTGGGACTCTGATGGTGAGAGAACTTAGCCAGGTGACAAAGAAAGAAAGGCTCTGTTGTCTTACAGTTTTGAGTAGGGAGAAATGAGAATTGGGTTGTGCTGATACATTCACTTGCTTATGAGAAGTTGGGTACTGGGTTCAGGACATTTTAAGAGGGTTATGGTGTAGGCCTGACATTTCTGCATGCTTGGCAATCCTAATGACTTCTGTATTGGACTTTGAAGGCATCTGTTAATTAAATCTCAGTCTTCCTTTCCTCATACTGACCAAGCTGAAAAGAGGGGGAATAGCCAGAGCTATTGTGACTGTTCTATCTGTTCAAGGCCAGTGACCATCAGCTTTTCTGTAGTTATAACACTCTCATTTAGTTTTAGAATGTTTCTTTTACCTCCCCCCTCTCCCTCCTCTTCACACTTAAACCAAACAAACTCAAATCCTACAGACTGTACCATATTTATTTTTTAAGTTGTAGTAAAATCTAATTCTGTGAAAACTCTGGAACGAAGTAGGGAGTTGACTAGGCTTGCAAAAAGTAGCTTAAGGCATCATTGCACTGGGCAAATGCCAACTGCAAAATAAGGCTAGAAAAAATGGTCACTTAGAGAACTAAGCAAAAAAGGGCCACAGCTAAGGCGATTCAGAATGCACAAGCAGAGGGATTGGATTCTCAGCCTCATTATCATTTATTGGGTAGTGTGATCTAGACAAAAAGGAAAGTCATGTGGCCCCAACAAAGCCAACCGATTTTTCCTAGGCTGGTGGTAGGAGACCTATTACAACTCAGGAAGTTTTCTCCAGTGGGGAAAGATAAATCTAAAGTAATGACAGTTACTAGAAAGCTAGATAACAGTAGACCCAATTGAGAGAAATACTTATGTGTAACTAGGTACCCCAGATGGGAACTATCCTATGTTAGTTTAACATAACTTAAATTGTGGGGGCAGAAAGTAGCCATGATGAGTTTTCACATGTAATGAGGAATAAGGAACAGAGAAGGGGGGGGCGGGGTAGGTGGCATTTATTACATGCCAAGAACCACAAAAATATAAAGACAAGTACTAGGGTTGGACTAATAGGCTCACAAAGAGACTCCAGGCCATGTAGTAGTTTCTAGTTTATTGTGGCTGGGTGACCGTGAAGCTGTACGACACTGTGAACACAGCTCCAGGCTCACATCTTTCCTCACTATTCCCTTTAAAAGATTGGCTTCAGTTTTGCAGAGATGTAGTTCTGAGACCCTGAACATGTCCTTGGGGTTTGGTTTAGCTCACAGCATGGGTAAGTCAGTGTGTTGAGGTGCAGCCTCAGCCTGAGAGGGGGAAGCCAAGAGAGCCTTATGTCAGCCTCAGGGCTGACATAAGAATTTACAAGTTTTGTAAAAAAAAAAAAAATGGTGGTCCTATCTGCCTACTTAATAAAATAATTTTTCCTTGGACACCTGCATGTTCTTTGCCAGCCTAATCAGGCCAGGTTGTTAGTAGTAATAAAGAGGCTGTGGTTTCTCTCTCCTAGAGGTAGGAAAGTGAAAGGATTTCCCTCTGTATGCCTCCTAAGGGGCTCTCCTATCCCACTGACAAAAGTATAGGATGTTCACTGTGCAAGCTGGGTAACAGGACTTTGTAGGGATTCATCTTGGGCTCAGAGATTAAGACTTTTATTTGCAAAAAAGTCTAGGGCCTAAATATGGACAAAACTAGTGCTTTAAATATGTCTTGATTTTTCCCTCCCATTCAGCCTCCCCTCAAGGTACATCTACCTCCCCGCAACTCAGTCTAGCTTGGGATATCTATCAGCCTGGAAGAGGGCCCTTCTAATTCTTGTTTAAAGAATCTGGACTCCACACACATCCAGCTGTCAAAGAGGGGCATGGCCCTGGAGCAGCATCTGCCTAAAGGGAACCATTAGAAACCTGGTGTGGTAGTTGGTCAACACAATACTAATGGTTGGCACCAATAAACTGGAACCCCAGAGAGGATGGAGGGAGTGGAAAAAGCAAAGGTTTAGCCTGTGCTGCACCCTATCTGAAAGCCAGCAGCCACCCATGGGGAATTTTTGCTGGAAAATGTGTTCTTAAGAGCCAAAACATGACAGTGAGTCGAATGGATTGCTGACAAATTCAAGTTTAATTTTACAGAAAACAAAGGAAAATCCAGATCTGGGTCCCTGTGTTAGCATCCAAATTAAAGCCCAAGTAGCCATCTGCTGTGGGAAAATAAATGCTTTATAGCAGCCACCTGCATCTAGGATTTGTCTTTGTGCTGCAGGAATGTATCTGGCCTCTTTTAAGTTTGAGAAGGAAGCCACAACTAACTGAGACATTCACATGCCATCTGATAGGTTCTCCTTCATCTGCTGCACCTTGTTCTTCTTCAGTGCTCACAACTGATACGCCCTCCCTCAGTGGGTGGGGCCTGCTGTCTGGCCTGAGGATGGCCTTGTTTCCTGGGCTCCTGGCAGCCTCACTCCACCACCCCCCTCAGGGTGTTGCAAATAGAGAGGGATGGAACTCTTGGCCCCAACCCATTTATTCTTCCAGGCACACAGTTTCAGGGTGGAATGGTCACCCGACGTCAGTTTCTGGAAAGCAAGTTGACGATGATATAGGTCTATGCCAAACAAAAAAAAAATTAGCACATGTCTACACATTTAGGTTATAGGAGAAGTCTCAACCTATCTAACTTGCACTAACACTTTTCTCTCCCCTTCTGGTGCAGTTTGGCCCTTTAAAAGGGTCCCTAAAACTACAGGGCCCCTTTTTACAACTGGCTTAACTTTTAAAAATTAAAAAATAAGTATCCTGTCAGCTGAGAGCTACCAGCCTCAAACAATTCAACTTCACACCTTCCTGTTTCAGTGTAAAGAGATGACCTGTCTGTATTTTACTTGGAGCTTAATGCCTCTTCAACACTCACCATCATGTCTGGTTATGGTTCTCTCCAATTCTGCTTCCCATTTAGGACCTGCAGCTTTTCTAGGCTCTGGTTCATGGAACACAGAGCTTTCCCTAAAGAGAAAAAAAAATTAGTTTTTTTACTTTTTAATAAGGAAAGGGGGAGTTATTGGGGCACAGTTTTTGGCAGGGAACTGGCTCCACATACGTCCTTTTAGATGAAAGGCTAAAATGTGATGCCAGGTGTATAAACGAGTAACTTCCAATTTTGTAGTGGATAATTGTGTTCAATTCTTTAACAGAAGACTAGACTTATACAGGGAATAAGTGCCTCCTGTTAGATCTTCCTCAAATTCTCTAGGTGCCCCTAGAGAACCTGTCCATGGTGACAGCCAAGTTCAAAGATCTTGCTGTTTAACCAAGTGGGGTTGCTACCCAGTTAAGATCAGTAGATAAAAAAAGTACTTCCAAGGATGACACAGATAAGGTATATTACAACAGAATTTCTGGAGATCAGCTTAGTCTCCAGAACTGCCCTTCCCAATAAAGCTGTGCCAATGAGAGGGTCTCTGTCTCTGTGGTATTTTGGTTAGAGCAATACTAGTACTTGGGGTTGTTGTGAGGATCAAATGAGAACAACGTGCAAACGTTAAGGTGCTACATAAAAGTTGCTATTTCGATTATACCCGTACTACATAAAGCCTTCATACATTTGTAATCAGATTTACTACCTGTAGCACCCCTGAGAAAGGCCATTGTCATCATTTGGTAGAATGTACCATATAAATTGTAGCCAATTTTTTTACATACTCAAGATTGTTAACTTACAGACAAAAGGTTTTAAATATTTGAACAAAAAAAACCCTTGTACTATTTTGACAATCCCTTTTATATAATTAACGAGTTGGTTTTAATGTGGACAAATAACTGTGGATATTACTTAACATCTGAACCTTGCTTCCCTCTCCTGTAAAATGGGGATAACTACTTAAAATAATTAATCTCAGGTGTGTGAAGAATCCCTCTGCAAAACCTTCAAGTACTAACTAATCACCTGCTATAGAGTATTCCCTTCAACACTTGAAGATTTAAGCCTCTCAATTTTCTCTTCCATCAGTCTTAGGATTAGATTTTTCATAGCTTCAACAAACTGAAACAAATGCCTGCTCTGTGCAAAGCACTATCAGATGTAAAGAATACAAAGACAAATGGAACAGTTCTTGCCCTTATGGAGCTGAATGCTAGTGGGTTCTTTTCCTTTAAAAAAAAAATCTGCCTTCCTAGCTCCTCAGTCCTTTTTACTGTTATATCAAATTTCAGTTTCTTAAAAAGCCTTTTTAGATATGGGATGTATGCTCTGAGAAAAAAAGAATCACTCAAAAGGGCCAAATGACATACAGCTCTTCCCCACTGTATTAGAAACTCACCCATGTTGCTGATACAGTCCTCTAGGGCTCCTGATAACTCAGACAGGCTCATGGACTTCAAAGAAGCCTGCCATCCTTTGAAACCTGAAGGAAGAAAGAGATCAGTATTTACCTTGGGTACCCCGTCATTCAAAAGCAGCAGTAAGTCAGGTATATAACATTAACATGCTTCTAGCTACTTTAAGCAGTAGTCACCAAAACTATTTGAAATTCGGTCAAATATAAAGCAAGTTGGTGCAGCAAACTGGTCCTGGCACCTTTAGGAGGAATCTATCGAATGGATTTGGAGCTCTATAGTTGGGAAATTGTTCCAGTTAGCTGAAGAGTTCCCTGGCTTTAGGGGCCCCCAGAGCCAGACTTTTCAGGCTACAATGTTCCCTCAAAGTCTGTTCCTTGTCAAGTTCACTGTATTTCTTGGACCTCTCCTGCACTTTCTTCTCAACACCTAGCAACAGGATACAGCTGGACAATGTAATTCAGCTCCTGCATGCTATCTCCTTGATAATGGACAGATCAAGGCTGTGGAGGGGAGGGGAGCCTAGGTTGTGCTTAGTGCCTCTTATTTCAACCGTGAAGGTCCCTACCTCAGAGATCAGATCCTTCTGAATGTGAGCTTTCAAGGAAAACTGGTTTCTCAGATGACAGGAGTATTTGCCATGCTAATTATTATAACTCATCCTGACTTGCTTGGTCAAGTAAAGGGGAGTCAGGAGGTGGGCAGAATGGAAATGACAGAAGAGAAATGAGTGGAGGTAATTCTACCAAAGGTGATGCATGGCTGGTAGCAAGCAGAATTCCCAGTTGTGGGTTGCCTACTTGGGGTCTGAGAGGTACTAAAGGCATCTCCAAAATAGGTAACTGGTCCAAAAGTTCTAGAGTTAGAAAAAAGTTTGACATGATTGCCAGCTGACTCTTGTTACAAGCTTATTAGAAACAATTAACAAAATATCAGTTTATCAATATAACTAAAGTGATCCCTAAATCTTTAAGAGGGATGAAGTTATGAATATTTCATTGAAGACACCTAGTTATGATAGATTCAGAGAGCCTAAGGAACAGCATGAACATTTGATAAAAAGACATTTGGAGGAATGGTAAAGACTTAAAAATTTTGCCTTGGGCCCCTTCATCTGGAGAATGTACTTGCTCGTGGTCTCAAGAAATCTGCTAGCAGCTGTGGTTGCTACCGAAGATTCAGGTGATAGCTGTGACCAAATAGATCCTTTTCCCTCTGTCCCTAATAGTACACCTCTCTGAGATGTGGACTTTTTTATCTACCAATTTTTCCTAACCAGCAAACTGAATGATTACACTGAGAGGATGAATTTTTTTAGGAAGATTATTTTGCAGAAAGCAGCAGCTAACTGCTTACAGATTTAATAAATAAAAAACAGGGAGCAGAAGGCACTAGTACGCTAGAATCAGTACTGTCCACAATTTGCTTTGGACAGTAATTCAGAGCTTTTAACTTAGCTTTATTTGCACCGGCCTATTTTGTCTTTCCCTACTTCCCAGGTTGTTTAGAATAAATATTAAGAATTAGCATGACTTTGTCTTATAACGTAATTTGAAGAGTACAGGGCACGTGGGTGGGGGGAGGGGTGAGATGGGGTGAAAATTTGGAACTCAAAAACTTGTGGAAGTGAATGTTGAAAACTAAAAATAAATAAATTTATATTAAAAAAAAAAGAGTATAGGACACATGCCAAGAACCAAAGGATGATTCAACATCAGGAAATAATCACCACATGATTATTTCAATGGATGTGAGAAAAGCCTTTGACAAAACATAGCACTCATTTAAGGACCTAAAAGTACAGGCAAGGAAAAGTCCTCTTTCAATATGATCAAATTCATATTTAAAATTAAATGTAGGGAGCAGCGAGGTGGCACAGTGGATAGAGCACTGGGCCCACGAATCAAGAGGACCTGAGTTCAAATCCAGCCTCAGACACATAACACTCACTAGCTGCGTGACTCTAGGCAAGTCACTTAACCCTAATTGCCTCACCAAAATAAAAATCCATTATATGAAACTGAAAACGTTTTCTATAGATTAGAGAATATTTGTATCAAATATCATCCATAAAAATATGTCCAAGACATACAGGAAACTGA